TTGCTAATATTTACCCTATGATGATTTTATACTCTTTTCAGTTAAGTACAGGACCCTCTCTTCAGCTTATGAAGATTTTCCATCAATTTTCAAATTTAACTTTAAGCCTTCAAGCTCATAGCATATGGCCCATGCCAAGATCAATTTGTTTTGAATGTCAGACACTGAAACTATTAGGCACCGTGAATGATAACTGTGGACCCTAGACTTCTTATAATCTTTCAAAATGGACTTTTTGTGGTGTTTACAGTTCGAGGTTTGACCAATTTGTACCCTAGACTGCTTGGAAGCTGAGGATATTTCAATCTAGTTCTAAGTGGGAGATGTGCATTTTTTTTATGCATCATTGTGCTGTCCTGGTTCCTTGTGAACACAGATTTTTTTTTTTATTCCATGTGGGGTTGGAGAGATATGCTGAACTTTACATAGTGCTGATTTTGGGATCATCATCACCCTTTAAGGCCTTTAACATGAGCTTCTATTTCGATGGAAATGGAGCAATACAAATCCGATAACATTTGTTATACAAAGTATGGGTGATTATACATTTCAAGGTTTAACTTGATTTGCTTCACATGTTTCTAAAATCTGATTAGTTCATACATCTGTAAATTTGTGGTCGTTCATGTTTGAGCTTGTAGATTGCTGTATTTCCAGTTCTCTTTGTGTCCTAATACGCATCATCTTTCTCATTATTTTGTTACAGTGGTTCTCTTAGATATTTGAGTTGTATCTGATCATAACTTTTTATTACAGAAGCAGAAGTTCTATCAGCTCCTCTGAAGTTGGTATATAGCAAATTGCTTTTGAGGCAAGAATTCTATTTCTCTATATTGTCACTTCGATATTGTACTCACTGTATGCCAATACAATTTAAGTGTCTTTTATCCACTGTAGATTCACGAAGAAACTATTAGGTGCAGTGGTGGATAATTGGGATAATCATGTCCTCGTGATTGATAAAGTAGCACCGTCAAATTGGAAGGTCTGTTTTACACATTATTTATTTCGTATGATTCTTAGAGTTGGGGCTGTGAAAAAATTTCTATAACTACAGTTGTGTTTTTATTACTCGTTCTTAATTTTTTTTTGGATTCGTAACTCATTAACTACTCGTTATTGAGTATACATATGGACCATTATGTATTACATTTCACACCATTACTATGACTAATATTGCAAAGACATGATTGTTTTTGTGAACTTGTAGACAATGTTAATGTTTATTTATTATTAGAAACTCTGTGTAGTTTTTTCTTCAACCTCATTCTGTCATTTTGAATGCTCAATCACTAGAACGAGCCAGCTGGAAGAATTTTGGAGTTCTCAATTCTTCATTTAGCAATGTCCGAAATATCTGCAGTTGGAACACGACATCAAATTGTTATCAATGAGGTATTATATTCTTTATTGATGAGAACGTGCCAATTTCAAATAGACAATACTGATCATAAATTTCTTCCTGCACTTGAAGGCTGTGGATCTTGCAAAACGGTTTTGTGATGGTTCAGCGCCTCGCATAATAAATGGCTGTTTGAGAACCTTTGTCCAAGAACAATCATGAAGAAATGCAATGCATGAGGAAGATGCATATAGTAATCATGAGAAGAGGGCATAAATCCTCCCACTGTCTGATGGAAGATAGAAACTGCTCGTGGAAGGAATTTGTATAGCTGATTGTTGCGGGTTTTCTCCATATAGCATTTTGTGCTCTTCAAGGCTTTATTTATTGTTGTTCTTTCCTTTGCAGAATGTAACTAAACTTCCCGCAATGTCTTAAGGAAAAAAAAAAAAAAAAAAAAAAAAAAAAAAAGAAAGTTATATAGTAGTGCTGTAGTAATGTAGATCAGAGTCTAGAGAGTTTTCAACCAGCCCAATCTATGGGTTTATGAAAAGGGAGATGACAGTTCGATGTTGTTCATAAACACTTTAATGTATTGGGTAAATGAGATTAATATGTTTCCTTTTTCACCGAAATGAGATAGTTTGGCACCATTAGTCTGTTGAGTCGATGTGTATAGGGCATGCATTAGCGTAGTTTGCAGCAAAAATGGGTAATGAGGTTTGGGCTTGGCTTGGCTTGGCAGTCTATGACGATGACGGGGACGTTGTTGGGGCAGCTTGTAGTATGATGATAGCTTGGTAGGTGATCATGAAGTGAATGAAGCTGAGCCACTGATGGTTTGCCTATGGATTGTTATTGTAAATTATACAAGGCGTCAGAGGATAAGCAGATAGCATAAGCTGGTTGCTGGTAAAACTTCTGGAAGTCCAGAAATTGATGCTCCGTACTTTTATCTTTTTCATTATCACAAAGATAAACTTGTATTTTCACTAGGGGTGTACACCGGTCCAAAACCGGACCGGACCTGGACCGGACCTGTTTGGACCGGGGACCTGAATTGGGTAAATTTGAGGACCGGGGACCGGACCTGATTTAACAGGTCCGGTTCCGGGTCAGACCTGAAACATCAGGTCCGGTCCGGGTTTGGACCTGAATGGACCTGTTTTGTGGTTTTTTCGTTTTTTTTTTATAAATAACCTGTTGGACCTGCATATGGACTTGTTTTGTGATTTTTAGACCTGTTGCATAATTTAATAATTACATACAAACCAAAATTATCAATCACAAAACTACATAACGTCTCTAAAGTTCCAATTTCCAAACACCAAAAATACAAATGAGTCCACCGAAAATACAAATGAGTCCACGAAAACTCATAACATTACATAAAGTCTCTTAAGATTCACCCGGAAATGATCCAAACTTGCCAAGAAGTGAGGAAATGGATCCACCCGGAACCAATTCCAATAAGATATTTAAAGCCTCCTCCTCTCTTGCAGTCCCCAAATATCTCTAGCATGGAAATTAAGCTCAGAATCCAGCAATATCGGATCGTATTTTGGTACATGAAAAGATAAAATACTTGCAACTATATTTGTGTGTGATAGATTCCTAAGCAGCTTCACTTCCTCTTCCAGCTCCCTTATGTGAGCCTACTCTCATTTCGAAACAAAAATAAATCAAACAATCAACTTATAGGAGCAGAATGTAGATAATCTTGTATCTTTAAAGCAGGTAACAATAAGAATCAAACTAATAAATCAAAATTAATGATCCAAAAACACGGCAAATTCACACAATTAACCATCCAAGACAGGAAAAATTGTGAATTGCATGCTCAAACAAGTCTCAATTGAATAATTCCATTTCAAATTCAACTAAAATTAATAGATCAAGACAAACCAATCCCTAATTTCAAATTCATCACAAAACCCTGAATTGATTCCCTAACCTGAGTTTTCTCTCTAGAAGCACCACCAAAAGCAATCGAAACCTGCAAATTAAAACCCAATTCACAAAATCAAACTTCCACAATTACCCCCAACACAAATTCAAGTTCATAAATTCAAAAACAATAAACCCTAATCATCAAACCTGCTTAACAGCCAAAATTAAACATATATAAATAAAATTAAACATAAGAGCTTACCCACATAAATAAAATTAAACATATATAACTTCGAATACGTATATAAATTCGAATATATATTCTGAACATAAATAAAATTCGGCCAAAATGAACAAAAATTCGACCCACATAAATTAAATTAAACATATATAAATTTAAGCATACTTCCAAAAATTAAACATATATAAATTCGAATTATGTATATCTTATTCGAATTAAACATATATAAATTCGAATTATGTATATCTTATACGAATTAAACATATATAATTCGAATTATGTATATAAATAAAATTAAACATATATAAATTCGAATTATGTATATAAATTAAACAAGAACACTGAACATGAACACCAATACACCATAATTCGGAATTTCAAACAAGAACAAAAGAATAAAGAATAATTAAATATGCAAAAAAAACTTACCGGAGATTTGCGGTGGCTGATGTAGCAAGCCTTGGGTGGGCGTCGCCTAAGAGTGAGGAAGCAAGGGAGATGTCGCAGTGCAGAGGCAGAGGCGAGGAGAGAGTGAGAATGAGGGAGGAGGCGCAACGTAGAGGCAGAGCAGGGTGAGCAACGAGTTAGGGTTAGAAAATAAAATAAAAATTGAAGTAGAGCACTGAGCAGCGTTTCTGATTTTTTGAGTTTTTGTGTTTGTTTTTTTTTTTTTTTTTAAAAAAAAAAAACCGGGTTTCAGGTCCAGACCTGAAACCCCCGGTTTTAGACCGGGTTCGGACCGGAACCGGGAACCTTGATTTTCAAGGACCGGGACCGGACCTGAATCAACAGGTTCGGGTCAGGTCCGGTCCGGATCAGGTCGGTTCAGGTCCGGTTTCAGGTCCGGTCCAGTTTTTGTACACCCCTAATTTTCACCCCCGCCTTAGATGAGTTAGATCCCTGTTAATGTTTATTTTATGAGTATATTTGCTAAGCATCACCCTCATTCCACAGATTGATAACAGACTGGTAAAATATTTTATTTGAATGCTGCTCCTCTATTTTTAACATCCCTTTTAACATTTTGTTCATTTATTCTAGACTAGACTATATAGCTAAATCTAAAATTGATACATTATTGTTACTCTCTTAATAGAAATGTTGTTAGACATTACAATTTCTTACAAAACTTTTTCTATATTTCAATATAATTTTTGCACAAAAAATCATTGGTTCTTTGACGATTTCAAAGAGAAACTTCCTCTCAGAAGGAGAAAGAGTTAACATGATTACAAAATAAACAAACATAAGCAAGGAAATCACCAAAGAAACATAAATAAGGGTTTTTCACCGGTAGGCTGTAGTAACCGATAAAAGTTCCTCCAAAATTCAGCAATACAAGCTTGGGTTTAAGAGAGGAGAGCGGTTATCAACTTATCATAAAGTTTCAATTTTAAAGAGGCTTTTTTAAATCTGATACATATTTATCTAATAAGGTCCATTAAAAGTCCTAAACATACCAAAACATCAAATAAATTTAGAAAAGATTAGTTTAAGGTCCACCAAAACATGAAATAAGCTCGAAAAAGTTTAGTTCAAATAAGTTCAGCATTGCTTTCCGATAGGCTTATTGGTACATTCTCGGGTTACACCCAATCGAAAACTAAGCATATGAAAAACAACTTCGTTTTCACTTATCTAAGCTCAAGTAAGAAAGCAACCATAACTTAGCCACCCACAACAATGGAGGTTTTTCCCCGCTTTTCCAACCGCCTTCTTTCTCTCTCCTCCATAAACCCTAACCCCAAATCTCTCATCACCCCATTTTTCCATCTCCAATTTTGCCAATTACCCACTTCAAATCCCTTACCCATTTGCCCAAACCCGATTAAAACAACCCATTTTTTCAGTACAAAACCCCTCAATTCTTCTTTATCTTCTTCACCTTCTACATTAAAAACTCGGGCAGGTTGGTTACTGGGTCTTGGGGAAAAAAACAAGCAGAAGTTGCCCGACTTGGTTAAAGCGGGTGACCCGGTTCTTCATGAACCGGCCCGAGAAGTTGACCCGAATGAAATCGGGTCTGAGAAGATTCAGAAGATAATTGATGATATGATTAAGGTTATGAGGATTGCTCCTGGTGTTGGACTTGCTGCTCCCCAAATTGGTGTCCCTTTAAAGGTTGATTCTTGACTTCTTGTTGGTTTAATTTATTTTCCCAATTACCTCCATTTCATATTATTTGCAATGATTAAACATTTTTTCACTCTAATGAAATCGTTGCAAATAATTGTTTCATATTATTTGATAATTGTGTAATACATGAGTTGCAGTGCTTGTAACGGTGTTTTATATTATTTGCAATGATTAGACATTTATTCACTCTAATGAAATCGTTGCAAATAATATGAAATAGGGTTGTATTTGCCTTTGATTTTATGTTTTATTTGGTGTATTGAGAGCCGCAAAGGATATAATGTAGACGTAGACACCTAGTTTGACTAATCACAAGTGTTGAGTACCATCCCTAGACTTTAGTCAATTAAGTTTTGTTTGATAATTGTGTGTTAATTTAGTTTTTTTTTTTTTTTAAACAGTGTTTCCACTTCCACTGGTAGACTTGTTATAAGTTAGATTGTGTACATTTGGACCTCAGGAAAGCCTTGTTTAGTAGTATTAGTACTATGTATTATTGTTTCACTAGTTTTTCTTGTAAGTGGTAAAGTTGCGTACATTTGGACCTCATGGAACTTTGTCTTATATTTTATTTTTATTACTGTACCAAATTAGAATAATGTGTTAGGAATATGTACAATTGTTAATTTGTTACACTTTGTTGAATGTTTGAGATTTTTGATGATTACCCGTGGAATTTTGAAATTATACAGTTCTGACCATTTTTTAACTTCAAAATTTTGTTTTACTAAGGTACAGTGCTTGTGATATGGAATGGTTGTTTGGCAAATAACAATAAGCTATTTTTCTTTTGTAATAGCTCGACCCAACTAGTCAATAACTAGGTGTAAGCCAAATATGAACTTAGTTTTTCATCTTTGTGTAGATTATTGTTTTGGAAGATACAAAAGAGTTCATCAGTTATGCGCCAAAAGAGGAGATTAAAGCACAAGATAGACGCCCATTTGATCTTCTGGTATGATAGACGACGAGAACATTCTAAACAGATGAAATGGAATTTCCTTTTGGTTTATGTTCCTTCTAATTTCTAGGAAGTGCAATGTTCTCTCTATATATTGACAAACTCTTAGATTTGAGGCAGGTTATTGTGAATCCGGTGTTGAAAAAGAAGAGCAACAGAACGGCACTTTTCTTTGAAGGCTGCCTGAGGTACGAGACATTACCTTCATTAATATTTTCAGCCTGAGTATCTGTCATGATAAAATAGGATCGTTTCCACCAAATGGTCTCTTGCAACTCACGTGTTACACTATATGTGCTATTTGGCCTATTACTGCTATATTTAGCGGCATAGTAACTGTTTTTGTTGTGATGGTATCCATTTTGTGTATACACAGTACTAAGGTGATATTCTTTGTTATATGAGGGTATTAGGAAGAAGATCTAGCATACCCCTTTTATTTCAGCATACACTCTGTGATATTACTACCTTTGTAATTCCCCTTTAAAAATATTGAGGGAAAATAAGGAAAGAATGGAGGGCTCAAATATCTTTCTTATTTCTGAAGTTTAAATACAATCCAGGATAGTGCTGAAGTGTAAGGCCATTTGTTCAAATACATTCCAGGCAAAGTGAGACCTGACTTTCCTGCCTCGAGCATAGGCCATTTGTCAAATGAAATTACCTGTGACATAACATGTATGTTTTAGCTGTAGCATAGGTTGGAATGGTGTTGGCATGCTGCTTTGAATTATGATATAACACTTATGTATTCAAATTTGACATCGTTCTTCCTGTAACGGTGTGCCAAAACTCATGATACTTATATTTCTGAATCTAAAAGTTTTGATAATTTACAGTGTCGACGGGTATAGAGCAGTGGTGGAGCGATATCTTGATGTCGAAGTCAAGGGACTGGATCAATATGGGCAGCCTATAAAAGTGGACGCTTCAGGATGGCAGGCACGTATTCTTCAGCATGAGTGTGACCATTTGGAGGGTGCTCTATATGTTGACAAGATGATGCCAAGGACATTCAGAACTGTTGAAAACTTAGATTTACCTCTTGCAGTTGGCTGTCCGAAGCTTGGAGCACGGAAGATTTCATCTTGATAGACTAGCCGATGGAGGATCTTGTCACCCATTACATTGGTATAATTAGCTCAAGAATTTTCAAGGGAAACCATCATTCATTTTGATTAATTTCATATTGATCACATGTTATATTTTAGTGGGAAAGATCTCTGTAGGTTGCTCTACTTTTTATAAGCTATTTATTCCAAAGGTACTTGGATATTTCATTTCTCTCCCTCTTAGTGGGGTTACATCAGTTTGAATGTTAATTCTGGTTGGTGTTGAAATTTTTGAATACTTAGGTTAATTGGTTGGATTATATTTGACCTTTCTTTCATCGCTTTAAATTAACTTCAAATGAATTATGATATGATAATAATATTCTAAGCAAAATTATTGTTTACAGGCTTAAAATTTCCTTTCTGAATACAATTATTGATTTGTAATTCACTTCTATTGCGTGCTTAGTCAATGTCAAAACATTCCTAGTAGAAGAAATTAAATGGAAAATTGCAGGGAATTTGATTTTGGACTTACATTAGGAGACAATTACTTGCAAATTGCAGCCATATATAGCCTTCAAAAATGCATCTCAATGTTCTGTTTCATGCAGTACATATATTCAGAGTAGACTGCTACTATGTTCAGGTTACATATATTTTACACAAGATAAGTACAAACCAATCCACAAACTTTTAAAAGCGACGATGATAAGCAGTCTACGATGATAAGTAGAGCTCATGATTCATGACATTGCAAAAGTAGCCACCCCGTGTCATATCATCAAATCTCATTATTTGACAGAAGATGATTTTCCATGTTCAACTTGAATAATGAAGGGCGTTGAAAGTTGGTTTTTGCTTGATCATGCTTTTGCTGGTTGGAAAGCAAGGGGAAGGATACACAAACCCAGAACTCGAACCTTGGGCTTGCCAGCAAAATGCTGTTGTGATTCCTGTGTAACTTATGAGCTGGATGTCCTTCAAATATAACCCTTGGCAAGGACTGCTATCACTGCAAGCAAATCTTATCGCTTCCTCTGACGCTGAAGTCCCTTTGATGCCCACAAATGATATTTTACCAACATGTACTGCTGATGTCTGCAGGTAAATGAAATAATACTCCAATTATTCAGATCAAGCCAGGGGGAAACTATCACTGTTTTGTGTTAACCATACATATAAGTTTGAGAGTTTTGGACATGAAGGAAAAACAAGAGAAGATTGTTTTATGCAATTTCCATGCTTATGCTTGTTAACATCTGAGAGGACTAGGGAGGAAAGCCAGTGAAGAAAAGGATAGGACAATCAAGAAGCAGGCTGACCCTCATAATCTCATACTGTTAAATGTTTCCCAATAAACTAAATATGTTCAGTATATTTCAGGCATTCTAGCTAAAACATATACGTAGGAAATGATATAATATGCTATATGCACTACACGGAAATGAAAACATATGAAGAAGAGCATGTGTTAGAATAGAGTACAACTTGATACAAACTTGCACCTGAAAAATACACCATGTAATATGTTGAAGGAACAAAATTTGCAAATTTACAAGCAGTATGTAATACCTGATTTTTACATGGCTTTGGAGAATCACAATAATATTGATCAATTATAATCGGATTAGCGACATTTTCCATCCTCACGTTTCGGAAAGTAACCCTTGTCACATACCCAGCACCTCCCTGTCACAAATGACATCTTTCATTAGTGGGAGGATCTTAACTGGGTTGTTTTTGTTAAATACGGAGTACATAGATTATTTGGTTACCTGCTCCATGGCAGTAATTTTTGATTTTTTTTTAATTGTACATTATTGTTGTTGTCGTGAGTGAAGAAGCAAACTATCACATAAACCATTACCTGCCAGGTTTTAATTCTTACACCATTCTGAGTATTCGATAGGTATGCCCCATCAACCATAACATCATCCACCTCTGCCCATTCATGCTGTTTTCCTAAGCTTCCAATACTATTGGAAATTTCAAATGAGCCAAGATTTCGGGGTGGACAAGAGACCGATCAAAATAAATGTAACACAAATTAGTATTGTCAATACCTTATGCCATGGCCTGGGCCACAAAAAAGACCTGTGATTACAACTTTTGAGGAATTGCTCACAATAGAGATACAATCATCACCTGCAAAAGTATGTAAACCATTCAGAAAAAAACTTGAGACACATAGAAATGGAGTTTGGTGAATGAGAAAACAACACAAAATATGTAAGCCACAGTTAATGTTTTGCAATGCTCTTCTTATCTCAAAGGACAGCTTATTTGCATAAATTATTCATCTAAAGTTCCTATTTATACGACAAAAAACTATAAATTAATTATTAAATGCAACAAGCCATCCCTTGACTCGCCACATTTATGGATCAAACCAGCAAATGATGCAGGCAAACCAAATACAAAATCCAGCATTCCAGCATGTCACCAATTGGTTACCCCATCATAATAATTCGAAAAAACTAAGAATCCATGCATTCGCTGACTGCAGCTAGCCCAAGTATTCATGTAGGCATACCAATATGGAGCTATCACTTCATCACAGCAAATTTAAAAAACGGTAAGAACACCAGTAGAAAATTAACTAACCCGTTATAATATTACTATCAATGACTTTCACATCAGAAGAGGCACTAATGTGGATTCCATCAGTATTGGGGCTTTCAGCAGGTGCTGTTAGTGTGACGTTGGAAACCACAACGCTACGACAATTGGTAAAGGTCAGATGCGTTTGTTGACTGTCAACAATACTGATATTTCGAATTTTTAATTTCTTGCACCTGTGAAAAATAACAGCCTGCAGCATGATTGTTCAGCCAATCTAAAGATTGCAAAAACTACATCAATCTCTAAGAAGTACAAAGTAACCTATAAGAGCCACAAGTGTGATTCAAGGACTGTCAAAAAGAACATAAACTTATGGCTTGAGCAAGTAGCAGAGCTTACAGTGGGAGCATGATGGCAAGGCTGCGAAAATCAACAGGCAAAAAGATATAAAGAAGATTAGATGAATCTTTAAACAACATTTCAAAAGACCGAAAAGAAGATCATGGACATAAGAACAGCATACCATTGTCTTATTGGTCTTGCAGGATCTAGCCCACCATATCTCACCCATACCATTTATAGTCCCTCCACCCTCTAGAGTTAGTTTCTTTATACCATGAAAATAAAGCCATTTTCGAGGGTTCAAACCAAGCCATACTTCAGGATCTTTAGGAGCAATAATTGCTCCAAGTATCTGTTAAAAGACAAGTGAAAAATGTCAAAAAAAAAAAAAAAAAAAAAAAAAAGAGAGGCTTTGTTTCCCACTATTATAATGGTAATCTATCCTTGAGTTGGAAAAAAGATGGAAGTCCATTAAGACAGAAAAGAAAACAGCATCACAACATACCCTTAGAGTCACCTCAGCTCGACACTTAGCAAAATTCATTGGCTGCACCAAATAAGTAAATCCCTCTGGAATTATTACTGTTGATCGCTGAGATGAATAACATGCCACTTTCCATGCTTTTCTGAAGGCCTGCAACGAGGTAAGGCATTTGATGTAACTGAAAATCAATTTAGCAGACCAAGTATTTACTGGCAAAGAAAAGTTTCAGTTGCTTAATCTTATTTCCACCACTGAAAATCTGATTGTCGAAGGAGATGGAAAGAATACCAAAACAAGAATCTCAATTCACAAAAAATGCTGACAAGTAGCTAGTGACACATAACTTCAGTTGCTCTATCTTTTTCTTATTTTGGTACGACATCATTAGGTAACAATAACAATCAACAAGTTAGAATGAAATCTTTGCATAGAATACCAAAAGTGTGTGTCATAGTGAGTTGGTATTATATCACCCCCAAATATGCTATTTTCTTCATCGATTTTCTTACTACTCTCTCCAACAAGCCGTTAATAAACCTTTTATCATATATTAAGGCTCCCAATCTGGGCCATTATCCCATTCAATCCTAGTAAACAAAAATTCACCCTCTGCCCACGGCACCATTGATTATTGGATTACTTGTTTCCAACCTAAAGATGATATCATATAGCACATAAAGTACTACAGTAGACACTTCATAGTTGACAAAAAAACAAAGGGAAATCCTCCCATATCCAAGCCTTAGAATCCTTCTTAGATCAAGCTATTCTAAACACAGTAGACTTTCATTCCTCGAATACGAGCATATGAGTAACTTAGCTACAGTCACATTCCATATTGCAATATGACATTCAGACATTCAATTTGAAGAACAATCCTAAGGTTTGTTCTGATTGACTGAACTGAGCTGAACTGAACTGAACTTATTTGAGTTGAGCTGAGCTAAGCTCAACCGAATATTTTATAAGAGAAGGAAATTAAGATAAAAACTGAACTGAACTTATTGGAGCTGAACTGAACTGAAAATAAGTCGAAGAGAACAGATCCTTAGTTCCTAACGACCTAACATGACTTATTCTGGAATCCCCCAAAATGCACACAGACATACTGTTTTAATTTTCCAAAATTACCTAAAATTTATCAGTATCACTTCATTAAGTAAGCTTGATGCTAACAATATCATCATCATCACACATTCACACCCCACCAAAAAAAATAAAATAAAAAAAGCAGCAACACCAATAACAATGGATACATTGGTGATTAAATCAAATAAATAAAGCAAAGAAATTGTAAAATTCATAAATTTCACATTTTTATTAAAAAGGAGGTAAATGGGTATGAATAATTATACCTCAGTATCATCATGAAGTCCATCACCAACAGCACCATATGCAGTAACATGAAGAACAAACCCTTCTTTTCTGGGTGTCCTGTTTCTTGTAAACCCAGATTGTGGGAGCTCAATTAAAGAATCAATTTCCACTGAACTTGTAAAATGACTCAAATCCAACAACACAATTATAATAACAAACGATGTACAAGTATTTCTAAAATTATTGGGAAATTTCATTTGCCAAATTGGGAATTAATTAAATAAATTGTAGCAGGAAATTATACTTAACAATTAACGAAGCTAATTAATGTTATACGTCACTTTTATTTTTTTGGGTTTGTTTCCGAATTCGTGTTTTTTTGTGGGGTTGCTTTTTTATTTTATTTTTTAAAAAAAAGAAGGAAGAAGATTGGAAGATTTAAGTGACCTTCACAGAAAGAAGCCGACAACAAATCAAATGACGTGGAAACTTTTTTTTTTTTTTTTTCTAAAAACAAATCAAATGTTTTTTTTTTTAAAAAAAAAAATCAAATGATTTAAGATTACTTTGTTACTTGTTTCAATAAAAAAAAATTACTTTATTACTCTTTCCTAAAAAAAAATAAAATAAATTTATTATTCGTATATTTTAGATTTAGAGTGAGCGCGAATCTTTGCGGATTTAATTTTCTGTAATCAAATTTTATGAATGATAAAGAGATTGGAAAAATATTTAATTTTAGGAGATTGGTAAGTTTAAAACTGTTAATTCCAATCTAAAACAATGTTTAAAAGTTAGTTATCAAACAAGTTTTATATGGAGTATAATTCTAATATGGCTCAAACTTGATTTTTGAACTACTATAAATATAAGACTAGCTGTACATCTTGTACTAATTTTTTTGGTATTAAATTTTTTTGGTATTAATTTATTTTCTTGCTTGGTAGAATAGTTTGTTGATCTATGTTTTATATGATGGAGGCGAATAAAAAGAATTCGACTATTGATAATGAAAAGTATACCGAACTTGAATGGAGTGTTGCAAAAATTTTATGCAACATGAAAAGGTGGGTGGGAGAAGAAGAAAAACAAAAATATACCGAATATGAATTAAGTATTGCAAAAACTTTATGCGACATGAAAAGGCTAGTGGAAGAAGAAGAGAACAAGTCCATAGAATTCAATTCATCATCCCATCCATCGCCTTCTCGTCCTTCCTCAGCTACAAAAACGTCATAAAGTCACCATAAAGGGTTTCTCTTTCAAGTCGCAATTGCGTTCACTTATAGACGTTTTTATTACTATATAATAGGAAATAATTTTTTTTGTTTTTCTTGATGTTATTTTTGTTTAGCTTTAAGAAGTTTATTTTTTGCAAGTCTTTGAGAAGCCTCATATGGATTAAGTAATCAATTTTCTTCCTGGAGGCGGATTCACCATGCATGGTGCATCCACCTCCTAAACACATGTTTTTTCTTTTAGAAAAAAAGAATCTCTGTTTTTTGGATACTATTAATTACTTGATTTTTGGATCTTCTTTCTATATATATAGTGTCTAAACTAGGAAATTTATATTCAGACTTCAATTTTCAAATTGAGTGAATTTGTAGAGAGAAAAATAGGGAGAAATCAAACTTTAAGAGAGATAAGCTAAAGAACATGGCCAATCATGGCGAATTTCGACATGATTCAGATCGCCGTTTTGCGTTTGATGATCAAGATGATGATGATTTCGGCGAGACTGAAGACATTGTTACAGAAGGAAAAGGTAATGTAGTTTTATTTTTTGTAATTTAATTGAATTTCATGATTTTCTTATTGATTTTATAATTTCGTTGAATTTGATTGAATTGATATCTTGAATTATCATTTGATTGAATTGAATTATAATTATTTTTCACAATGATGATTTATTGCATTGATTTCTTGAATTATTAGTTGATTGCATTGATTTCTGGAATTATTAATGTATTGCTCTGTTTTTTTATTTATAATGTGTCACGTTGAAGATGATGAAGATGATGTTCTTTAAAATTAGCACACATGTTCATTATATTATATTTTAATGTTCTTTAATGTTGCATATAATGTACATTACATGAATCTTATATATAATGTTGTTTTGTTAATCAATGTACATTTATATTAGCTACAATGTTCATTATGTCTCTTTCTACACCAATCAAATTTGAATATGATGCTCATTAATTTTGGATACTGTTTCGGGGTTTCCTGATGTCCTGCGGGAGAGTTACAATTCTGAGACTGGAACCGGACGCCTGTACCTGCAAAACAACGGAGACTCCTGGTGGTGGGAGCTCCGCCTCCAACGGTCAAGTTAGTACTTGATTAAAGAATAATTAATGCGGAAATTAAAGTGATTGGGTCTCTCTAGGTGAGAGTGTTTAATGTGAGTTTTTCAGCGTAATCCTCCTTAATGAGGATTAAGGGAGGTATTTATAACCTTGGGAAACGTGCACATCCTAGGTTTAGGTTAACCTAGGGATGATTGGGCTTCCCTCGGAAGTTGGGCCTGGGTGGCCGGTTTCTCCATTAGGCATGGAGTATGCCACGTGTCATGACATAATAGGTCCAAGGTGGACGAATAAGCGTGTGCCATGTGGCAAGCCCTGACAGTGGTCTGACCAAGTAAACATGATTGTTACCTAGTTGCCAAGGAACTGAGTAGTAGAGGTATCAAGCGGTGGGTACCGGTTGTTCCCCTTTATTCGCCAATGTTTGTTGGCTTTTAACTCATAAGTTGTTAACCTAGAAGGAGTAGTGGTTGAGAGCCTCTGTTTGCTAAAAACAGGCGGACGACTCATACCTTTTAGGCTCCATACTAAGTTTGAGGGAGTGACCATAAGTTAACATAGGAGTTACTTAGTCTCCGTCACACTCTAGATTGAGTAGTAGAGGTACCAGGCGGCGGAGGCCGACTGATCCCCTTGATTCGCCAATGTTTGTTGGCTATTAACCCGAGTGGTTACCTAGTAGGAATAGGGGTTTGAGTGCCCCTGTTTGCCAAAAAACAGGCGGTCTACTCAAACCTTTTAGGTTCCATACCAAGTTTGAGGGAGTGACTATGAGTTAACGTTGGTGTTACTCAGTCACCGTCACTCTTGCTTGAGAAGTAGAGGTACCAGGCGGCGGAGGCCGGCTAGACCCCTTGATTCGCCAATGTTTGTTGGCTATTAACTCAAGAGGTACCCCCTGCATTTATCCCAAGTAATACAGGCGGTCATCTGACTCAGATGTCAACTGCTACCACTGGTTTGGTTAGTGATAGAGTTATCCTTGTCTCAAAAACGGCTACGTGGTTGCCCTTGGGGGCAGTCGTATAGGTGCCGTGTAATTAATTTATAGAGCAATGTTCCACCCAAAAGGGAGCTGCTCTCTGCGACGAATTTCATCCGGAGGGATGCCGCCGGACGCCTGCTATGATGTTGGGACAGGTCGTATTAGTTTTGAAGATTGGATCAGTTGGCTTGGCGCCTGGTCTGATCATTCGGCATGTGGCCTTGGTTAGTTCTTGGTGAACGTAGGTGCTAAGTAAGAGGAGGGTAGCCGCCTGTTTAGGCACAGGGTCGGCCAGGCCCTAATCTTTTTAGCTAAGTATAAGGGGGGTGGTTGTGTGCTTTGGAATCAGTCGGCCATCTTCTATGGAGAGTAGCCGACTATATGTCCAGACGACATGCCCCTATGGTGATAAGAGTAAAATACTCAGTGGAGAGTAGCCGACTGTAAAGGTACAGGCGGCATGCCCTCTGAAGGGAGTAAAATACTCAATGGAGAGTAGCCGACTGTAAAGGTACAGACGGCATGCCCCTCTGAAGGGAGTAAAATACTCAATGGAGAGTAGCCGACTGTAAAGGTACAGACGGCATGCCCCTCTTAAGTAGAATAAAAATTAAACATGGAGAGTAGTCGACTATTTGTTAGTAGGCGTGCCCCTCTTAGTACAAAATTGAATATTAAGTGCAAACTTTTATTAAGTAGCCCTTGATTATTTACATCATTCAAAAGAAATATTTCTTAAGATTATCTACATTCCAAGTTCGAGGCAACGGTTGTCCGTCTGGTGATTCCAGGCGGTAGGTACCGTCCCTGACTTCTTCACAAATTCGGTAGGGTCCTTCCCGGTTGGGAGTTAGTTTGCCAGACTCATTAGCCCTACCAACTGCTTCCATTTTTCTAAGTACAAAGTCCCCTACTTTGAGTGGACGCCTGTGTACTTTTTTGTTGTATGATCTAGTCATTCTCGGGCGGTAAATTTCATGGCACAAGACAGCATTGCCCCTCCTTTCAGGAAGTGAGTCTAATGCAAGGCGCATGGCTTCCCAGTTTGTCTTTTCGTCATATAGCACTACTCGAAGAGTCGGCTCGTAGTGTTCTATTGGAAGAACAGCTTCCGCACCATAAGTTAGGAGGAATGGAGTTTCTCCATTCGCCCCTTTTTCAGTCGTCCTAATGGCCCAGAGAACATGTGGTAATTCATCCGCCCATAGGCCGCCTGCTCGTTCAATCTTTTTCTTAAGACCGTCTGAGATGATTTTATTAAAGGCTTCTACCTGGCCGTTTGCTTGTGGACGGCCGACAGATGCAAAGTAGTGTGCAATTCCTTGGTCACCCAACCAGCTTTTGAGAACAGGCGTCTCAAATTGGGGACCATTATCAAAAACCATAGACATGGGAACCCCGAACCGAGTGATGACATTTTTCCAAATGAATGAAATTACATCCTTCGTCTTGATTCTCTTTACAGCCTCCGCCTCTACCCATTTAGTGAAGTAGTCGACGGCAACAAGTATGTACCTCCTTCCGCCTGTAGCAGGCGTATATGGACCCAGAATATCCATGCCCCACTTAGCAAACGCTAGTGGGCTATGAATGGCAGTGAGGTCAGTAGCCGGACGGTAAATTAGCTTGCCAAACCTTTGGCACTTGTCACATTTTTTCACCATCTCCATTGCATCTGCTTCTAAGGTAGGCCAAAAGTAGCCCTGCCGCCTTGCCCGTTGAGCAAGCGTCCTACCGCCTATATGGGAAGCACAGTAACCAGAGTGAAGATCGTCTAGTATCTCTCGTCCTTTCTCTGGAGTAACACACTTTAAGAAGGGTTGAAGGTACCCCTTTTTGTGAAGTTCTCCCTTTATTATTTCAAAACTGGTTGCTCGTTTTTTCAGTGCTGCCGCCTGTCGATGATCATCCGGCAGGGTACCGTTTGTCAGATATGCCCTGATTGGATCCATCCAGGTTGAGCTTCTGTCTAGGATTCCAATAGGGTCTTCCTCGATGCTTCTCTTCTCCATTACTTCCCAAAAAACAGTTCGAGGAGTATCAGAGGAGGCGGATGATGCCAATTTTGACAGTGCATCCGCCTGGTTGTTTTCTGATCTCGGCACTTGGATCAGATGGAAATCCTCAAGGGAGCCGACTGCTTGTCGGACCGCCCGTAAATACTTGATCATGGCCGGATGGGTTGCTTCATATTCGTCATTGTACTGACT